AGCGGGAGCTGAGGTGAGATGCGTGAATCAGATGTTAGTTTGCTTCCTCAAGCGGCTTTGTCAATGAAAGGTGCTCAAATGGTTCTTTGATTCAATGGAATTCACGCATCGCTTCAACAGCTCCTACCTACCTCTGCATACGTGAGACACGTACCCCCCCTCTGCACAAGTTTCCCAAACTTTCGGCTTACAACGAGGGCCCCCCCAGAATTGCTTGCGCATCTCTATATATACAAATGATGCAAATGGACTTGCCAAGGTCAGGGCAGCACTGGCTGTCGGACAATAAACGTGGTTCCATGCTGTCTGAAAGGGGGGCACGGCCTGGTGCACAATGAAAGCAGCACCCTCTTGGCCAAATTTGGACACTCAGGAGATGGGATACACTCAGGAGATATTATACATCATGATACACCTAACTACAGTCTTGCCCAAAGTTTTGAACCAGATCGGTGAATCTTGACCAATGTGGATCCTGACAATCAAGAGGGACGATGGAACCAGATTGTGCCGCTGATTGCGCAGAAAAGAACGGAAGAGAGACAGCCGGTCGGCGTCCCGACCATGGTCGGTCGGTCGGTGGTCTGTGGTCACAGAACTCAAAATTGTTCTACGCAAAGAGCTTCATCTCACTCGAATCCTCTACAGTACCAGGATGTACCAGGTGGCACAGCCTTTTGCCCCTCACGGCCCACGTCGCTGAACTGGAGCAGCTTGCGGCTGAGGGAACTGGTGAAGGAACGTCTTCTGATCTGCTCTCCGCTCCAAGTCGTTCACATATGCCTGCACTGGGAACGCCGGCAGACATGCTTGGACATCACAAAGTAGGCGATTTTCTCCAAACTGGTTCCTACAAACCTTCCTCCTCTACATAACTGGGAAGCGGCCAAGAAGGGGATCCACTGTGCCTCCGCCCGGCTCACTGCTTTCTCTGCTTCATGAAGGTTTGGACTGCTCTTGGATTGCACGCCCATCTGGCGAGGTTCTTCACCAATCAGGGACACTCCAATCAGCGTTCCGTAGATCACTCGCAAGCCCGCCATTTTTGCACGTTTTGCGCGAGTTCGAGGCTGAGGATCCTAATGCTGCAGATTTGGAAGTTCGGATATGCATTGAGTATCATTGAGTCATGTACCAAACTCTCCACTCTCCAGAATCTGTTGTTTCATTCCAAACCTCACCTACAATGTCTACATGAAAAGTGACGCTCGCAACACTTTTGTCTTTCTGCAACCGGGCACACGGATTGCGTCACCCTTCAGGCTCCCTTGTCTGGCCTAAGAATACTGTCGCACGAC